TGCAGTTGATCGACAGAATTAATTGTCTTTAGCAAAAAGTTAGAAAATAGCGTGATTTCTGATGAGACTTGAAGGATAAAACGCTAAGGAGTAAATGTGCCGTCCACCTCCGTGGGCGGGTCAGGCCATTTCGTTTGGAGCTCGTCTCGGCGGGTAATGGGTCTGCAGCGGTGTGGCAGGAGTGCTGCAAAACGACTGGCGTGAAGCTTCACTGGATAAACGTGCCGGAACCTGGCAGGGCTGTAAACAGACGCGGGTCTCTGCCTCAACGAGAACTACGTGAGGGACTTACATGGGTTCATGGAGGGACAATTCCCCCCACTTTGCTCCAAGTGTCTCAGACGGAAGGCTTAATTGCCTAAAAATTGTTCACTTGCAAACTACGTTTTGCACTGAAGAATTTCCATTGTCCTCGCATGGCGTAATGTGCACATTTTGCATTGCATTGTTTGCACTGCGCTATTGTAGCTCGCTGCACCCTGGGGTTTGAAGTGTGTTGTTAGCTTTTTCCCACACAATGCTGCCGTTTTGTCAGAGTCTTTGTCCTCCCGTAGGCCTTTTTACAAGGTCTGTTAGCATTCGCCCATCTCAGAGCACAGTGGCTGCCCTTTATGCCGCGAGCTTATGTGACTTGACGTTCTGAAGCGCATCACCACTGGCGGCTTTGTGTAGCAGCCTGGCTGCGACTGAAAACGTGTGGACAGAACTCTGGGAACCAGCGCGCCCTCTTGCTTGGGCATTCTTCCGCTAGTGAACTATCATTTAAATCATCGGCGTGAATGCAGATTCTCTGGCCTCGCCCTTTGAGTCTGAGTGGCTGCAAGTTGCAAAGTCTCTTGAGGTATCAAATGGGCCTGTTTGTTCTGCTTGTGCATATTCTGCGCGTGGTGTGGCAGCCATCTGGGAACAACAACGCAAGACATGAGGCAATTCCCTCTCTTCTTTTCCTGCCAGGAACCACTGAAGCGCCGCCGGTGTCCACGCCGGGAGCGTAGACGCCGTGCCTTTCCGCCCGAGAGGGAGCTGTGAGCGTGCCTGCCTGACCCCGGCGCCTCCGGTGTCCGCAGAGCGCGAGTACCGCTGCCTGGGCTCGTGGACGGAGGGCGACGTGCTGTACACGTACACGCAGCGGCGCGACGCGCTCTCCTACGAGTGCTTCGTCGGCCGCGTCATGGCTGACGGCCGCGTCTTCATCGGCGAGGCCGGCACCGACGAGGGCTGCCGTCGACGCGTCGACCCCACGCGCACGGGGATGCTGATCACGCAGACGGGTGAGTCCCGCACCGCGCGGCGACACGGGTCCTAGCCGGGGGAGACGGCCAAGGACATGGCAGTCATTTCTCGCAAGGATGGAACAAGGATGCACTCACCGGTTCTGTGCCAAATGTCAAGCAGCACAGAGCCGGTGAGTGGCAAGTAGCAAGTGGCAAATATCACCAAGGGCTTTAGACTTGAAAAAAACTTGTGGAAAGTCTGTGCCATGTCGCCCTGCCGCGTGGTATATCCCGGCTTCAAGCATATTTAAGGAATAACTGTTTACTCACCTTGGAGTGATTAGCAAACTTCTCAGACCATGCCTTCCTTTCTGACTTTTAGGGATAGCATTAGTCTTGGCCAATCACTCTGCAATATCTTAGCTTTGTCGAAGGTGTATGCAGCGCGCGGCGCAAATTTTCGTCAGGGCTAATTTACAGATTCCGTTCATTGGTCAAGTGCCGGCACTTACAGCCCGTCGTGCTTTTACGTCATCTGCTGACATTGCGCAGCTGCAGCTGCTAACAAGTACCTTTCCATCTTCAAGACATATCACGGAAGCTAATTAACAGTTTGGCACAAAGGGCATCAAAAAGACGCGATTCACATTGTAAGGACAAGTTGATGAGTGTGTGTCCCGGTCGTTACTTATGTAAGCGACGTGCTCGCATGGACGCCTCGCGCTAAACTGTGTCCCTGTCCCTGGAATGTGCCTTGGTCGTCTCTCTAGCTGACCGTGCTGCGCTCGCACGGCAGCACCCTGCCGTGACGGTGCCGAGACGTCGGAGCCGCCGCCGCCGACGGCGCCGCGGCCGTCCGACGGCCGGCGGACCCGCCCAGCGGCGCCGCCCACCCGGGCGCCGCCGGCGCGGGGGCGGCCCGCCGGCGACAGCGGGCGGCGCCGGCCGACGAGGCCGAGCCGGCCCAACCGGACCACCACCCGCGGCTGGAGGCCGATCACAGGTCAGTCGGATGGTCAGGGGTCACCTTCGTCTCAGGTTCGTCGTGGCCGTTTGCCCGTCCTAGGTCAGTGACTGTCACGTATCTGAGGTCAGTGATGAGGATTGCCCATCGTTGTGCGGTGTTGAACACCTTCCGGATATAGAGGGCCAATTTAATCGCGCCCCACCCATCACCATGCGGAAATACATTGGCGTCTCCGTTAACGTGGAAGTGCTCTATTGCCCTGGTAGCCGATTGACGCCTTGCAGCTGTCGTTTGGCGTCACCAGATGGCTCTGGTTGTTTCAGCACGACCGGGCCGGCGCAGTTCAGCCGCCCGCCGCCAGGTGTCAGCACCGACGCTGGCGAGCCTGGTGGCGGCGCTGCTGCTGGCGAGCTGCTTCCGCTAGCCGTCCGGCACCGTCCGAGCTTCTGTCACGTTGTCTGCGCTTGCGTTCCGGACCTCCTCAGGGTCCGGAGTCCTCGTCCGGACTGCTGGTCCGGGCCTCCCCAGGGTCCGGAGTCCTCGTCCGGACTGCTGGTCCGGGCCTCCCCAGGGTCCGGAGTCCTTGTCCGGACTGCTGGTCCGGGCCTCCCCAGGGTCCGGAGTCCTCGTCCGGACTGCTGGTCCGGGCCTCCCCAGGGTCCGGAGTCCTCGTCCGGACTGCTGGTCCGGGCCTCCTCAGGGGCGGAGCCTCCGTCTGAACCGCTGGCCCGGACCTCAAGGGTTGTGCCTCCGTCCGAGTCTCTGGCCGGGGCCTCTCAGACGTCGTGTCCTCCGCCGAGGCCTCGCACAGCGCCCGGGAGAGGACGTCTTGGCCACGTTGTCATGTACAAGTCAGCACATCGCCCGTAGCCAACTGTGATATTCCGTTCAGCCGCTATTGGTTGCGATTGCTAGCCGCAGCGTCGCAACAGTGTCTTGTATGTCGGTGCATGTAAGCGGCGCTGTTTGCATGAGTCCTGCGCTTGACTGTAGATGGTTGAATATTGAACAGATGTGTATGTTGCACTTAATTCGTTGGTGACGTCACGGAAGAGGAGTCCGGTAATGTAACGTGCGTGCGAATGTGCGTCCACGTGTAAGCGCACGTGCGTATGTAACGCACGTGCGAATGTAAGAATGCGGCCGCTGTGTGGTCCTCACGTTGGGTAGTGTTGCCATGTGACCTGGTACTGACGTGGCGCCGGTGGGTTTTCACAGGCGCGAGATGCGTTTTATATGCCTATATACTGACGTGATGTGCCACTACATTTGTACTGACCCTAACGAACAGATACAATGAATGGTTATCGTGACCCACGAGCATGAAATCAACAAATATATGACAGCCTTACGGCTACTATGCTTAACGCGTCGCGTTTGAATGTTAGTATATTTGGTTGACAAAGACGGTATTTGATCAGCCCATGGTACTTGGATCATCAAAGGCAACAAGCTGGCGAAGAGGAAGCCGGGTCGGCCAAGAGCTCACGGACCCCGGGGTTTTGTGATGGCGGCAGTCTCTTGCGCTGCCGTCCGGCAAGCAGGCCAATGCAAAAACTTCCGCTGGTCTCGGACGTCTCTTCGGCGGTGGGGGGAGGGGAGGGGCTGTGATCGGGGGCATCGCAACAGGCTGCGCTTGCCGCAATTTACGGTCCCAACCCCTTTCATGCAAGACAACCAATGTAATTTCTTATTTCGACCACAGCCGAAGCGCAGGCTTTCAGCGGCTTGGCAGCTTTTAAAACGCGACAGACGGGCGGGTGAGGCCGCGAACAGATGTCTCCCAATCTTTGTGGGACGCATGACTGCGATGACGCTGTGATTACGAACTGTCGTCGTGGTCAATAAGCGTGAATCGGCGAGGCGAATGATGGTAAAAACACGCTTACTTCACAAACGGATGCACAAACATGCCACGCTGTCGCATTCTATATTTTATTTGATACGTCTTGTGACGAAGGGTGTCTTTCGCAGGAAGTCACATAGGTCCGTTTCAAAACCACAGTAATGTGTCACTGCATTTCAGCTAGCATCCACAGGCCCCTTATTTGCAACAGGTACTCTGGAAAACGACAAAAACACCCACTGACTCAACAAAACCCCGTTTGCACCTCGTCGCACCCATGGCGCACGAGGGCGGACGCAAAGCAGCCAAACTAACGCATACGCACACACCAAGCGTCTGCTCGACATTTCAACATGCGTATCTCTCGCAAGCACGCATCTTTGCCCGCAGCATTCTCAATAGTACTCATTCGGCGAAAAAGAGCTAGGAATACGCCACGACTGAATGAATCCCGGGGAGCAGACGTATATGCAGCTCGAGAGCGAGCACTGTGAAGGACCCGAGATGCGCAGAGACGTTCACACCGAGGCTGGACCTTGGTTCGGTCTAGGCCTCGCTAGTTGGCTTTGGTTGTTAGCTGTCTTTCTTTACAGGTACTCTCTCCGCTCTGAGCCCATCCCACCCCTCGTGTGTCGCACCCACACCCCTTCTCGCATCCCACCCCTCGCCACCCCCACCGCTTCTCGAGCCTCATGGATGGAGATCGCGAACATGATAACAACGTTTTGTACACACGAAACAGGCGGCAACAGGACGCGATTCACAAAAACCTCAGCGCGGCCCAGCACTTGCGCGGGCAGCCGGTCTCCACGCGGCCGTGGGAGCGGGCGGCGCGTGTCGCCACCGTGCCCCTCCCACCAGCTCACGCGCTGTCAGCGGACCTCACTCCCCGGGCGACCTCGGCGTGTCCTGGCACGAGGCACTGCCCACCCTATCACAGGCTGTCGCGGCCACGCCCCGGTGGGCGGTCCCATCAATCGAACACACCGCTCCTGGCGGCGTGTGGGTCTCCAAGGTCATGTCCTCCCAGGCCAGGACCCCTCCACGGTCACCGTGGCCGCCTGCTCGACACACATCGCCAGCGATCCCGCCGTCGGCGTCCCGCCGCCACGACGGCGGCCGCTGGAGGGCGCGCAGGCGGCGCTGGTGTCGCCACATCGCGCGCGCGCCGGACGCCGCGTGGAGCGGCGTAACAGCACGGCGTGCAGCGTTATCTCGCAAGGCACCGGCCGCACCAGGCGGCATGCGGGCGACGGCGACGGCAGCGCCCGCAGCGCCATCTCACATGCCGGCGGGCGCGTCGAACGGCATGCCGGGGTCGGCGGGCGGCAGCGTCATGGCGGGGCGCATGACCTCGGCCACGCCCAGCGGCGCTGGCCGCGGCCCCGGCTCCGGCGTGTAGGTGAACGTCAGGCCCGTCGAGTAGATGACGCCGTCGTTACGCACGAGACACACCGGCACCTGCACGAGGCGAGAGAAGTTAGCGCGCCGTCGTCACGCCGGTCGAGATGGGACAGCACGACAGTGACCAGGCGGGACCCACTGAACAGGGGGGGGGGGACTGCGAATAAACGGGGCATGGTCATGGGCCATCAGCCTTTTTTAGCAACTGCTGTAGCCGTCTCATTGAAAAGAAAGCACCACGTCATCAAAACGAATTTCGGCCAAATCTTACTGACCGACGCATGCAGGTTTCTAATCGTACTCGACACAAAGCTCACTACAATCGGACATGAATGGCGCCGTAAGCACGACGGCATCCTGGCAACGTGCGAGACAGCAAAGCGGCCGCTCGGCTGGAGCGGTACTCACGTTGGTGGGCTGACGCACCCACTGCCAGTTGCCCCTGAAGGCCGAGATGTCGGGCACCACGCACAGCATGGACTCGCCGCAGCGGAACATGGTCTCGGCCTCCACTTCGCCGAACCAGACGCGCAGCGTCGGCACGAAGTTCTCCCCCGTCAGCTCCAGCATGGCCACCTCGCCTCCACCGTTCAGCTGCCGGGCAGACCCGCGCCGGGTCAGAGCGGGTTGGCCACGTCCTCTGGCGCCCGTACAGCAACACCGCACATCGGCACCGACGTGCCCACCATCACTCCGGGAAACAACAGATCTGGTGAACGGGGTGCCACTCGTCGGCTTCGTCACACCGTGCATTGGGCACCGGCATACCCACACCGCGCATCAGTGCCGGCATACCACGCGTCAAAAACCTCCATCAGCATACAGCCCGGTCATCGCGCACGTATCATACATGGGCATCTTTAGATCGGAGGTAACAGCACCCGTATTCTCTCGCCCGTCCCACATCAGCAAGCGGCGTCGCGGCCAGGGCGGCGCCGGCCGATCACTCACGTGGAGGCTGTGCACGTTGGGGACGGGCGTGACGGGCGCGCGGACCGGGCCCATGCCCTCGTGAAAGCTGTACTCGGCGCGGCTGGTCGAGATGATGGTCCAGCAGGCGCCGTCGTTGATCATCTGCTTGTTGGTCTCCTTGGGACACGGCGTCGCCTGGCGGGCAGGGTGGCGTCACGCTCGGCGCCGCAGAAAAGCACTAGATACCTCGAAGGACAGCACGCTTTCGGCGGGCACGTCGAGGAAGGTTGAGCTGGGGGCTTCGTGATGAATTAGCCCAGCGCGGCAGCTGGGGCTGCGCGCTCACAAGTTGCTGGATGGAGAAATGAATGTGTAGGACGGCAAGCTGTGTACGATTATGAAGAACCAAAGGCGATTCCTGGACGTGCGGTAACGAAGTGTGATGAAATTTCACAGCTCTAATCAACTAGACAGTTCGTTGGAAAAAGATACGAGCAGAATAAGATTTTATGTTGAAGTCTTAAGTTTTATAAGGCTTTGAATGTAACTTTTGTACGCGTGGCTGCGTCGCCGGCGGGCGAGACGTGCAGCCAAGCGTTTCCCGTAAAACTGATTTCAGAAACCTGCCTACGTTCATCCACACGCAACAGTGAGCAAACTTAGAGATTGGCATCAAACCAACGGAGATTGCATCGGAATACAAGCAACGCGCGGCCACCGACCGAAACAAAAATGGTCAAGACCTCCGCGCAGCGATGTAATCTGAGCACTTGTGCCACCAGATGCGCCGGCAGTCCTTGCAACCCATCCTGTTCATCGGTGCGGTGGCCTGATCCGGGCGTCCTTGCAGTGAGCCCGTGTCATCGGCCGCACAGTGACTCGGTCCGGCCACTTGCGCGTGACCTGGCGCGCTTAGGTCACCGGTTACGCTCACCTGAAACTGAATGATGCGCTCCTGGCTGAGGCAGAGGTACATGCGCTCCGTGTCCTTCATGTAGAAGGCCACCTTGTGCAGCTGCGAGACGGGGTCGTCGCCGTCCAGCAGCGCCATCTGCTTGTCCACCTTGCGGATGACGAGGCGCGGCAGGGCCATGCCCGTCTCTGAGCAGACCAGCTTGACGGTGGCGCCGTAGTGGATGTAGCCGTCGCGCACGGTGAACTCCTCCGACTCCGACTCGCCCTCGTCCACTGAAGCGAGACCAGAGCCGTGGTGTCCATGGCAGGAGAGGGGGAGCAAGACGGATTCAGTCCCGTCCGTTGCGGAGAAGAACCGAACTGTTGTCCGGAATAGAAAACGAACGCCGGTGACCCGTTGTTTTCTAGTGCGCGTTTGTCAGAGCTGGAGATCTGTCGCACGGGGATATCTCTGACTCAGTTCCGTGCCCCGCCAGACGGGGCTGAGACGCGGCTCCTGCGAGAGAAGGAGCGGGCCGGCTCCAACTCGCTCCACCAGTCACCGGCGGACCAGGCGCTGGTCAAGCCCGGGTGTTCTCGTACGCTAATCACGCAGATGGTCCCGAATTCGTTTCTCTGTCCCGTCTGCGCTGTCGTGACGCGGGGGTGGAGGATCAGCCCTAACGCGACGAATCTGCTCTAGACCTCACGCTGACTAAGACGCGTGGCCTCCATGGGCACACAAATCCTGCGTACAGCTGGCACGCGGCTGCTTACCAAGGTGGATGGTGAAGGCTCCCCACTGCGCCGACGATGCGTGGAAGTTGCCGTTCTCCACGTGCAGGTAGCGCGTGCTGACCGTCTGTGACCTCAGTCGGTTGAACAGCGCGATCTTGGAGCCGCTGGCTATGCACACTGGGGCGGCAGGGCGAGACTCGTGTAAACACATGCAACACAGTAACACAATACCGCATACTCGTTACAGTAGAGTGCCGATGCGCTTGCAATAGAATCACACCGCGAAACGCACGGAGCTGAGAACGAAGTAGGACCGAATCAGGCTGCACCCTTTGTAGTGTGGTCGCCGCAGTTATCGCATTTCGTCCATGTATCAATGAAAATACTTCGCAGACACGTTTGGTACGATCGCACGCCAGACAGGCGCACACAGCAATAAGGTACTGACGTTCGGCGTTCTTCAGCGATTGTTTCTTCTTGCTGGGCTTCGAAATCACTTTGATTTTCTTGCTGTGGAACACCCCAATGTCCATTCCATTTCCGTAGAACATCTTTGTGCTGAGCATGAAATGTTTCCGCTTGTCCGAGTCGGATATGAACAGGGTCTTGGCCGCGCAGAAGTGCTGTGGGTCAAGGACAAGGCATTGAAGAGACGCCATTCTGCAGACGGGTTCAGCCAGAGTATCGTTGGAGCGATAACAAAACATTGCAATTTTTATTATTTGAAGCATTAGAAGCAAATAAAAAATGCAGGGTGAACAGATCAGCGGTTTCGCACGGCATCACAAACACAAGCGGAGAATGTCGAGTGCCGAGACAAGCTTGCGCGGCAGAACTAGTAGAGTAAAAACTTTTCCGACGGGAAAATGATAAAACCACGCTTTCCGATGGGAAAATGATAAAACTACGCTAACTTCTATGAAAGGCTGTGGGGCCGCCGCCACACCTTCCACCCGCATTCTCCACCTGTCCAGTTAGTCAAACTTCCGCATGTTTCAGCGCCTGGTGCACCTCGGACAGGTCACAGGTCCCACCTTGCCGTTGAGGTCGAGCTGCTGCATGTCCTGATCCGCACTGCCGATGCCGATGAAGGCGCACAGCTGGGCACCCTGCTCCGACTCGCCCTCCTTCAGCATCTGCTCCCTCTTTCGCCGCCAGCCGTCGCCGTACAGGTAGATGCAGGGCGGCGGGCAGAAGAAGCGCTTCTCGTTGCCGTACGACTTCTGCGCCACCTTGGCATGTAGCACCACCACCACCTGGTCGCTGTGACCGCCCTCCAGGTACCTCTTCATCGCGTCCCGACTTAGGCGCTGGTCCTTCATACTGGTGGACAGCGCGTCGAGCGTCAGCTGGCAGCCCTTGCTGTAGAGGCTGACAGCAGCGGCACTAGCGGACGCAAATGCCGCTCTTAAGCTAGCGTCAGTGTAGAAGAACCCAAAGTAATCGCGCTCGAATATGATCAATTGGCTAAGAGAACATCTGCCAATTTGACAAGCGCGTTGTAGCGGGGACGTCATCTAGCAGAGATCAGCAGCGCTGTGCGAGACATCCTTCTGCAAAGCATACACTAGCTTTATCACCAGACTGCATTGCGCGAACTGCGTTGCCGTAGCCGGTCGATTTCGCCACTGCGGCGCGGGGCTACTCACACCATGGGGTAAGGCACGGGCGGACTGGGCGTGGGCAGCGGGCTGGGGGGCGCGTGCGGCGCCAGCAGGCCGCCGCCGCCCAGCAGCTGGCCCGGGTGGCCAACCGGCGTCAGCCGGTCCGGTGGCGTGTCTGAAACGGCCGGCACGGTGTGACGACCGAGCGGTCACCAGGCGACGGCGTGACAACGAGCGACGGCGTGACGATCAAGCGGTCACCAGGCGACGGCGTGACGACCGAGCGGTCACCAGGCGACGGCGGGACGACCGAGCGGTCACCAGGCGACGGCGGGACGACCGAGCGGTACGACTCGGTGAGGTTAGATAGCGGTGAGGCGATTTAAGGATGTAATATCGTCGGGGAGTGGGAACAGCGTAGGGTCAAGTGTCAAGCGTGGGGTACGGGAGGAACAGTGTAAGGTGAAGCGTCAAGTGTGGGGTGCCGGAGGAACAGCATGGGGTGCGGGAGAAGCAGCGTGGGATGAAGCGTCAAGCATGGGGCGCGGGAGGAACAGTGTAAGGTGAAGAGTCAAGTGTGGGTGCCGGAGGAACAGCCAGTGGTGCGGGAGAAACAGCATGGGGTCCGGGAGGAACAGTACGGGATGAAGCGTCAAGCATGGGGTGCGGGAGGAACAGTGTAGGGGTGAATGACGCACCAAGCGTGGAGTGCGGGAGCCAGGGCATCCGCTTGTTTAAAGTCGAAAGTTAACTTTGCGATGGTGCATGGAAAGGACCGACTTTTAAAAACGGGCAGGGAGGGGGCTGGCCCAACCGCTTTTGGAACCTTCCCACGCTCCTGCGCGACAGGACAACGCTATGATGAGGCTGTGACGTCATGAGACAATGAGGCGATGTGGCGGTGTGACGCGTCGGTGGGACGGCGAGTGCGACAGAACGACGTGACGGCGTCACGCTGAACGCGCTGCAAAAACAAAGCAACATGGTGGTGAGCGCTGGGAAGATTCCACGATGTAACGGTGATCCGAAGCAGCAATGAGACGGTGTGGCCGTGCAGTAGTGAGTTTATGTAACGATGTGGTGACGTGAACAATGTCAATATGGATCGGAACAGGTGAAAGGTGGGACACACCCGACTCAAAGAGATGCCTGGATTGAAGAGATGGCAGTCAAGGTTTAGTGGTGCAAGGGATGAAGGCGTACATGCAAACGCCATGAAACCTATTCCTGGTATGTGTGTATTCTTGTCGAGCTCATCGAATTATGAAAAGGCAGTAGTATCAGCCTTATTCCTCGGAGAGAACCAAGAAAATGGAGATATAGTTGGGTTCAAAGAGATCAAAGTAGGAAACCCAACTATATCTCCATTCTCTTGGTTTTCTCCGAGGAATACGGCTAATACTACTGCCGTATCTATGCGAATAGTGTTCCTCGCTAATGCACTGAACAACTTGCGAATTATGTCAACATGCATCGACAGCTTTATGCTAGTAAGAGCACCGTATTAAAATTTTCAATGTCCGTTTACAGTCGCCTCGGACAGGCGGGTTAAGCGTGAAGACAAAAGTATTTGCATTGTGCTGATTTTTTTATTATGGAAAAGGGAATACCCACCAATGGATACGTCGTCTGGCTATCAATACCCCAGCGTTCCACTACTGGCCGCTCTATTTGCCCCTATTCTCGCAGAGGAGCAGCCACAGCCCAATGGATTCCCTCCATGTCACCTATGTACTGCAATCCGTACGTGCCCCGGAGGCAGCCGGCTAGCTGCCGCAGCAGCAGTCATACTGACGGCATCACTTCGTCAGCGACAAAGAAGTGACTGTCTCCACGCATACTCACATCTGTGGTAGGCTTCGCTATACTTGGCGTCGTGCGCTCCCCATCCTGCGGAAGCGACACAGTGAGTGCGTCAGATCAGGCGCGTAAGCCAACAGCGGGCGCTGCTTAGTATACACAGACTCAGTGAGCACACACTACCAATGCCTGCGTCAACAACGTTATCAGATAGCATTGCTGGTTAAAGCCGCACACAGCCGTTGTGTCCTTTTGGTGGCGCCTGAAGTGCGAATGAGGGCAAACATCCCGTCAGGCATAGCGAGGAGCGGGGGAACACATGGGGAAGACCAACAGCTGGCGGACATCACCGATACGCGCCGGATAGCATAACCGCGAGGGCGACGAATGTGGAAAGGTATGAAGAACGGACCGACAGTCGCTTCGTGTCCAAATGCGTGCAACAGAGGGGGATACGCTCCCACTCAGGGATGCGTCTGACTAGCCAGCAATCCGGTACATCATGTCCGTGAGCAATCAAGGCATCAATTACTCTACTCCTCTTTGCGGGTATGCATCAACAGGAATTTCGTCATTGGCTCGTCAAATGTCGAGCCACCCCTAATAATCCGTATTCGCCGTCCGTTTGATTGATGTGATTGACGTTAGTCTTACGGCGAGGTTGTCAAGGCCACTGGTATTTGAAAACGATTTCCGCACAGATCGCGGGGCAGTTATGGAGCGAACATGTTATTAAACGGAGGAAGTGGCTAGCTTTCAAACAGCCTCCGTTCCCGAAGTGAATCGTTGCCGTAGAAAATGAAACAGACCATCGGGCTCAAATTGGCACGGCATCCTGAGCAAACCTCTCACTTAGTTCATCATCACGCCGCAGGCAGGCACATCCCTGCTGAGAAGACTCGTGCAGCCGTGCGACCCAGCACACGGCAGCGGGTCGGGCGGCCTCCGTCTGGGTCAGACGCTGCCTTCGCGGTTCCCACCCCGAGATGGCGGGGATGGCGGGCTGCCAGGAGCGGTACGTCTACCACACAGATTAGCAGACGAGGCCTTGGACGGCTGGCTCCCCGTTCGTTCAGTAGGACTTTAAATGCGTGCAGTCCGCCGATATCGTGACTTCGTTAGATAGGCTCGATGACTGGATACGGACTTACAGAACGAAAAAGGACTTTTCAGACAGGTGTGACGTAACGCAAACCAAAACACTCTCAACAAGAAGGCGGGGCAGGACTGAGGACAGGCCACGACCTGTGCTCGATAAGGAGCGCATTCCAGCTCGTGTCCAGCACTTTTCCGTCCAGCCCCCTCCCCAAGCCCAGCCCTAGGCGGACAAATCCTCGTCCAGGCAGGCACCAGCCGAGCGGCGGCCGCGGCGACCGCAGCCTCCGCGCCGCTCCCGGGCCGGGGCCGTTCCCAGGGCCGGGTCGGGTCGGGTCGCGGGAACCGAGCCGCCGCCGGAACCGGCCACCCGCGGGTCAGGGGTCACCACTCTCCATTTCGGAGCGGCCGCCTCCGTAACGACTTCACTGCCCGGCACGTCACACCGCGCGCCCTCTTTGAATGCCGTGATGTATGCCTTCCTGCGCCGATTTCGCCGCGGGGGCGCCATAATCAGGCGGCCGTTGTCAGTGAGAGGATGGGAACGGCGGGCGGCGGGCGGCGCGGCCCGCCACCGACGCCGACCGCACGCCGGTAACGACACTTGCGCTGATTGCAGTTGCCAAATGTTCGCAAACGCCAGCATTTGTCTCGAGGTGAAAGTAAATTGGCCGCCGCTGCTTAATGAAACGCCGCCAGACGCGAGCGGCGGGCGTCGTCGCCGGCTCGGTGGGTGAACGAGACCGCGAGTCGGCGCTCCAGGCGGCCGCCAGTCCCACCCGGAGTCGGTGCGCGCGCCGACTCCGAGAGCGGACCGAGCGTCAGACGCTGGGGCTCCATCACCATCAGCAGGTGTCGGATGGCTCGTGATCGCACCGTCGCGCAGCGATCCGTCCAAATCGATCAGCCACACGTCGCCAGGGCGTGGAGAGTCGAAATGAGGCAACCGGTCTCGACGGCCAGAGGCTGCCGGCGCGGCGGCCGGACGCCGCGTTCACGACACTCACCGTCCTGCACGCCCAGGCCCAGGCCGTTGGGCTTGTACGGGTCGCGGCGGAAGTCGAGCTCGGGTCGCGGTGAGCTCAGGTCCACCGGGTGGTTGTCCGGGTAGCCGGGCAGGTAGCCGCCGGCGCCGGCCTGGTTCAGGTCGGCGGCCAGGTCCGCCAGGCTGCCCTCGCCCTGCGGAGGTCAGAGCGGCGGCGGTCAGCGCGGGCCCCGGTTCGGGCCAGCCAGCAGGGCGACGCAGAGGCGTGGGGACGGAGGAGACCCACCTGAGCGGCCACTGAGCGCGTCCGTGCCGGCACGCAGTGCGCCGGTGCTCTGACTGTCACTCCGACATAACCGTGGCGTCACCAACACACCAAGGCATAAAAGGGAACCTTGTTTAAAATTCAGTAGAGGCATGTTATTAAAAACGGTCGAAAAAGATAAAGATGAGAAGAGGGAGAAAAGGTGAGTGGAAACAAGGCGGAGGGAGAATGAGATGGAGAGGGTCTCGACAGAGAAACAGAGAAAGGAAGGGAGAGAGTGAGAGACGAGACAAGAAAGAGGAAGGGAATGGAGGCACAGAGAAAAGCCAATGGTAGCTTCGACGACGCCGATTTCGATGATCCCTGACCTCGGGGTAAAAGTTGCTTCCGTGCTGCTGGGGAATCGGCGCAGCAGAGGAGTAGGGTACTTCCGATCCCGGAGATGGCCACATTTCTTCAGACCTGTCGTCGTACTGGTGATAGCTGTATGCACCCTGAAAAAGACATAAACATCACTGAAACACGGAATATTTGAAGCACGATTCATACAAGGCAGATTCTCGTTTAAAGTATACATGTACCGCAACGTATGATTGCATATGATATAAGATTACGCACAATAAGCTCGCATGATACTATATATCACAGATATTACACCATGCTCTCATGCTCAGGCCGCTCGGTTCTTGCCAAAATCACGTGACATAGACATGGGTGTTCCTTCGTGAAGAGAGATATTTCACGGGAGAGAGGGTGACTGGGTACACACACACACAGAACAGTGGGGTGGAAGCGGGGAGTGGAGTGGGCAGACATCACCATACCTATCTCTTAATGCATTCACACCGACCTCGCACGGCAAGAAACGCAGCAAACATCCCGCCTGCCCCACCCTTTCTTCCCCGCTGCCTCGATATCGCTGGAACAGAGCGGCGACACTCGGGAACACCTGGCTGTGCCTCCACACAGGCCAGGGAGCAGTCGCTG